CCTGCACCCCAAAGCCTGAAGCCCTCCGGCCCAAAGCCCTACAGCCCCCCAAAGCCCAAACAATGCTAGCCCCAATCCGTACAGCCCGAATCATTGCACCCTTTCAAGTCCTAAAGTCTCGTGCAGTTCTTAAAACCTCTAGGCCGTGCACCCTCTAAAGCCCCCTAACTTTTAAAACCCTGCGGCCCAACTGTTGAAAACCCCGAGTGCTACATGCCTACCTTAACCCCAAATAACATACCTGTTTTAAGGATCAGAATATTAATACTAATTACTAATAGTAATAATAGGGATCCTTAAGGAAGGTTTTTGAGGGTCCAGGTAGAGCCCTAAATCCTTCGAGAGCTCCAGGTTTGGTCCAATGCCTCCACTCCTTGGAAGCTGAGCCATCCTCGCACCATCGTTGCCAAGGCGCAGTTGTAACGTAGGGTTTGGGGTTTAGGGCTTTCAGGGTTTAGGGCTTTTAGGGTTTGGGGCTTTTGGGGTTTAGGGTTTAGGACCATCGCCGCCAAGGCACCTGAATAATTACGAATACGGTTTAGGGTTTTAGGCGGGGTTTTATAGTTTAGGGTATAGGACCATCGTTGCCAAGGCACAGTTGAAATACAAGGGCCTTAATAGAATTACCTATACACTTTTTAAGGGGGGGTTCTGCATCTGGAGAGTTTGCAGCTGTTTGATGTTTATCTGCTTGGCTTCCTAGCCTTGACAACATTCGATGCCGTCTGTGTGGTCTTAGCAAGTGTGCTTCGGCCCCAGATTGACCCCATTCTGGTCTTGTTTTTTTCTTTTTCATGGCATTGCAGCAGACTTACATGTGCCTGCGACCACGCAGTGCAGCGAATCTCATTGTATCTCCCGGGGAGTTTGGGGTGCGCAAGAATGTCGTGACGTCTTCTCAAAGCTCTTGGATGAGTTCACATGGGGCCTAAGTTAAATAATTACCAATACTATTGTGGGGGGTTCTTATTATAAGTATAGTATGATGGGCCCCAAAACCCTATTCTCATTATTGAGGCCCCTACAGCTTTTGAGCTATGGTGCAGGTGGCTTGCCTGGTCGGCGTTCTTTTCTGGTCCCTGCCTGCTCCGGGGGCCGCAAGCTCCAGAGAGGATTTGGACTTCAGTCTTTGGGGGTAATGTAGGAACCTGATTAAGAAACCCTGGGCCTATAACCCCCCAAAAAGTAGGATTCATATAGGGAACCCCTAATAGAACCCCAAATTTTAGCTTTGGGGTTCGACGACTGGGGTTGGCATGGCATGTTGCATTGCGGTTTGCGCATGGCTTCCTGATAGACCCAACCTTGCAGTTCAAAGCTTGGAACTGGATTAAGACCTGAGGCTTCGCTCAAGTCCCTATCAAATCCTCACGACCGTAAAGTCAGAAATTCCGCTTCCCTTTAGCCGAGCGTTCCTTTATCGTCATGACGTCAGATGCAGCGCTAGAGCTCATGCCAGAGTTTTTTGGGGCTGTTTAAGGATTCAGGCCTTAGGGACTGGGGTGACGATTCCAGGGTTTGGCTTTGGGGGAGCTGCCGCAGCCTTCCCCGTCAAGATGTGGGCTGAAGGCTCTGATATAATCCTGGACCGTCAGGTTACAGCCATCCAAGCCTGGTCCAATGCCACATGGCGGCATTGGCCCCTACATGTCAGAAGGGAGATGCCTTAATTGCAAATCCACTGAGTTAGAGTTATTCCAGTTCTTTTGTGGGAAGTTAAAGTGAAAGTTGAGCCTTGTGAGGAGTTGGGTGCCTTACAATACGATCGTGCCTGCAGTCGCGTACCTAGTTCGTTCTGTGGAAAAACGGGTCGGAGTCGCACTCCAAGCTTCAAGCTGCTGCCACACAGCGGTGGGCAACCATCGAGGCTGAAGTTACGGTTTGACATCTCCAGGAAAAAGAGTCAGGAATCGACAACCCCTGAAGCATGAACAGAAGGTTGGGGGATGGTCGACCTTCAACATCAAGCTCCCTGGTTGCAGTCGAAAGCGCCTGAAGTTGTCTTTTCGGCCGGTAGGGTTTACTCGGCACCGAGAGTTTCGGACGTGGGCTTCAGTTAGGAGATCCGGAGTGCGGGAGGATGCCACAAAACACGCCAAACGTGTAGCGTTTAGGGTTCGGGGTTTAGGTTTCTTGTGTTCGGATACTCAGGTTTCTGGCTTGGCTGGCGCCAGAAAGCCACCTGTCTCGCAAGCTGCCGTCGTCGCGTTCAAGGGGCCCACAGATGGAAGCCCACACACACCCTGAACCCTAGTATAGAGGCCCTAATAATTACCTAGACTATTCTGGGGCTCCTTATCAATTATAAATATTTTGTATAACATCCCCCAAACCCTATTCTGTTTTTTTAGGGGCCCTACATTCTAGAACCCTTATAGATCCCTTCTAGCAGCCATATATCCATCTTATAAAGGAAACCTGTTCTAATCATTACGGCCCCCAAATTGAGAACCCTTGGGCCGATGCAAATCGGAAAACCAGCCACTCGAAATCCTACTTGAAGCTTTCCTCCCATAGTTGCATCCATAGCGCGACCCCGATGTGGACGCTTCATGAATGGCATGCCGGTGGGTCGTGTAATTTTCGGCAGATGGTTTTCTCGACATTTGCAAGGTTGCTTTTCCTAGACTCATGCGGTTTAGGGGCTCAGGATTTCATTTCACGATGCTGAGGGGGTTAGTAATCTTGGAGTCGCAAATTCCTAGACTTCAACATAATTGCAACTTAATAGGCCGTAACCTCCAGGTTCGGATTGCCCAGACGCCTGCACTGATAATATAGGGGGCCTAAATAGTTAGCAATATTATGCGTAGTATAATGGGCCCCAAAACCCTAGTCCAATTACTAAGGCCCCTATACTACACTGATAAGCCCACGAGGTCACGGCAACTGCCGGCTTTGCCGTACCTTCATGGCCACTCGACCAAGGGTTGCAGGTTCAGGGTTGTGGCCTCGTGCTCGGATAGCGCCGGTTGTGTCCAAGATATATGTGGAGAGGGGGAGAAACGGAGAAACAGGGCCATCCGTTTCTGCAGCTGGATCACTTTATCCTCAACAGAAGAAGATGGTATGTAAGATGAAGTAAGTCTGTAAGTATTTGCACCATCTGTCGTCAGTGCTCACCTCAAGAAATGTTGAACTTTGCGGATCGGCCTGCGTGAAACAGAAGCGATTATCAAAACAATGGTAAGGAGAAGTATGTACCTGTCGTCGCGCTGCTCTTGCTGCTCAGTTTGCTGCCGTGCCCTGGCCTGCAAGTCTTATGGTTAATTGATGGTTTTCCCGTGCCAGGAATTAGGACTCTGCTGCTCTTCGTGTGAGTGCAGATCGAGTTGTCAAGTTGTTACATAGATTTTGGAGTAAGTCGCATAGTTCCTATTGTACCGATTGCTGTTCATTAACATTCCCCGAAACTGTGGTCTTATTATTCAGGCCCCCATCTGCAGAGTGGGGTGCAGCCACTGATGATGCTTTAGGGGATGGAAAGCTTTGGTTGCAGAAGCCATGCAAGAAGGTGTGTATTTTTGTAAGCTTGTGAAGAGGTGTCAGGAGATTTTGTTTAAACATAGACTATAAACCTAAAGCCCCATTCTTGGACCCTATCTATCTACGACCCATACCTGAACCCACAGGGTCTGTGACGAAAGCCGCGTTGTACCCGATGTCTCGGGCCGTGCGAGGTACGTCTTCGAGCTGATTTCCTTCCGGAGCTTCGCTTGCAATGGCTTCGAGCGAAGAACTGACGTTACCACGTTCGAGAGTTCTGTTTAGGAATATCATGAAAATCATCACATAAGCTTTGATATTACGAAAAACCTTCGCAATGATTGTGACAATATTATTAGAATAATAGAGATGGAAACATGCTGTATTCTTTTTTTATCGTGTATTGCTGTTGCTTCTGAATACTCGTTATGGAGCAAGCATTAGTGTTTGTATTGCGGCTGTGCTAGTTTCCGGTGGTGTGGCTGGGCTCTTGTACATGCAAAAGCACCAGAGCTGCAACAGTTCTCTCGGCGCAGTGTGGACAAACCTATGGCCATATTGCTCCCTGTAGGCCAAGAGCAGCATCACAGCTTGTCGGTGAAAGCATGTCGCCAAAAGGCGCAAACCCTAAACTCTATAAGCTCCAACCCTGAACCGTGGCCACGAGGAGTGGAATATAATGGCATGCCAGGCCGTAGCCAGCAATACTGCATGGCATGTAGTCAACACATATACAGAGTTTGCGCCTGAGGGGCATAGGTTTTGGGGCCGCGCAACTGCCACAGACTTGTACCCCGAACCCTCAGCAGCCAGGTATGAGCGCTACAAGGTCAAGTCCGAAGCACACCGGATCGTCTTGAATCGTTCTTTGGCTGTCGCAGATCGAGCGGTTCTGGGCTCGGGATGCAAGCATAGGGTATTATTGGGTTGCCGATTGTTTGTGATGGCTCAGGTTCGTTTCAAGTGAAGCGTACTCCCGAGACCATAAATCTGAAGCCCAGAGCCCCTGATGATCGGGCCGCATGCCGATTCTGCAAGCGCGTGGGGTTAGGGGGGCACGGGGTCACGTCTTTAGTTTCAAGGGTTTGGAGTTCAGGCCTAGTTTGCATACATACTACAGTACAATGTTGGGAATCCTAAACCAGAATAAGCCGGATAAGGGACTCGGGATGCGTCGGGTCTTTAGGCTCATGGAGTTCTTAATTGGAGTGCAATTTACTGCATCTCACTGGAGGTTTCCACCGTGGTTTCCTTGTGCAGTGCACCCAGAGCGCGGATGTTTTGGCCAAAAGAGAATCCGCACCGCAATTTACGGTACTGTTACGGTGCAGATGCAGCTGCAGATTCTAGTCGTACTGCTGCAGTCGCTGTCACTGCTGTTGGAACGGATATTGCTTCAACAACACAATAGAACAGTTCAGAGTGAAATTCATAACAGTAATGCTTCAGGATCGTTTGCTATTGCTCATTGCACTCGACATTATAGTAGGTCTTGATAGATCCTTGCATTCGTCATGGAAATGTTGGGATCACTCGTGGAGCTTCACCACAAGACGACCTACACGAGCAATTCGTTTGTCGATGCTGATACAGCCTACCTCAAAAAGTTCAGCCTCACACGGGAATTCGGGCATTACCATGGTCTCATCGACGAGACTTCGGACAACAGCCCGAAGGCATGTATTGGCCCAGACCGGGAGGGGTCCAGAGGAGCGATGTCCAAGCTCGAGATCATCAAGCTGTGGTATGGCCACACGCTGATGCCAATGCGACACATGTACGCCTGGGCCGTTCCCTCGCTGAAGGCCTTGGAGATGATTCAGCGAACTGTTGATCACAACGGCCTCCAGGGCGTGATCGAAATTGGAGCCGGAACCGGGTACTGGGCCATGCAGCTTCAGCGCCGTGGAATCGACGTCGTTGCCTTCGATAGGGATATCGGGGGTTCTAACAGGTATTCGACATGTCCCTTTGTCAGCAAGCCAATTCCCTTTCATGACGTCTTCTGTGGTGGCCCCGAAGTCCTCCAACATTGTGGGTACAAGTCCCGTGCCTTGTTTCTTTGCTATCCCCACCCGGGGAACGAGATGTGCATGGATGCCTTGAAGAATTTTGAGGGCGATTTCCTCGTGTACGTCGGAGCTCTTGACCGCTTCCACCCAGTGAGCGCGGAGCTCTTGGAGTGCAAGCGGCCGCCTCCGCCCAACGGGGTTGGAACGGGGCACCCATCATTCTTTATGGAGCTGAGCAAGAAGTGGGAAGTCTTGGATCAGACTGCACTCCCATGCCACTTCTTTTGCCACGATCATCTTGTGGTGCTCCGTCGGTGTTCCCCGCGGCGGACCTCGTCGTCGCGGAAGCCAGAGTCAGAGGCCCACGAGAGACTGATTCCCAAGTGGAGAGCGCTGTCTGCAGAAGACGCGGCAAAGCATGTGCGCGAGGTCGAGTTGGAAAACTGGAAGCGGTTTGACACTGCATGGCAGAAGTACGCAAGAGTGCATGGCATCGTGTCAAACCTTGAGATTCCGTACGATGCCATTGCTGAATCGGCTATCGGGCTTGGCACCAGGGCGTTGGGGATGTCCGAGTCTGAGCGCGAGCTTCAGCTCCAGCTGAAGGCTGAATGCCAGAATGCAGATCCGAGCGCACCCTGGAAGGAGTGCCTTTCCCGGATGATTGCAAAGTGCCCAGAGGTCACATCGGAGAAGTTCCATGAACACTTGGTGAGTGTTTACCCGAACTTAACCAAGAAGGAAGTTAAGAACATGCGAAAACGCATCCTCAAGGATGTAAAGCATCTTAAACTCAATGCCGAAGGAGGCTACATCGAGTGAGGGTTTGTCGGTATCCAGTCTGTGCAGGTCCAAACCCTGCTTCAGGGGCATGACGTGGAGGTCTCGAGTTTCACGTATAGAAAGTACATTGTCTTCCACAGACGACTGTCTCAGCCAAGTTGCTGAAACTTGCCAGTAGCAATCATGGATCTGACGATGGGTCTCTTTCCTCTCCGCATCGCTGAGGGCTGCGCTTTTGGTTGTAGGCTCCTGCACCGGGCGTGGTTTCGGAATTTTGTTGGGGTTTAGACGATTAGGGGCGGTTTCAATGATTCGGATTGAAAGCTTCTCTGATTTTGGAGATTTTGGTTCAGGCTTGGCTTTGCAGTTGAAGCCTTGAAGCAAACTTCGTGGAGCCATCTGACAAACCTGCCAGCCTTTTGTTTCCCGCAGCCTATACGGGGGCTTCAGAACATAGGAAACCTTATTATAATACCGACCCTAAATAGTAAGATCCTTGTTATTATAAAGGCTCCAAATTAAGGTACCACGAATTTTCGGAAACTCCCATGTTATTACGGATGTTAACTCCACATGCGGACACACGTGCCCACACGCCTTAGCCCGTTGCAACATAAGCCGAGCATCAACCCTGCAAAGCCTAAATCCTAAGCTTCAAGGGTACTTCGGCTACCTCATGGCGACACTCTATGCCCCTCGGTTCACCGAGGAAGTCTCTGCGAGATCCATCGCAGGGCTGTTGAGTTCTGAGGCTTTGCAGCTTTTCGGGAAGTCATTGATTTACAAGCTTTAAGTTTTTCAAGCAGGTAGGCAGTAAACAACAAGACTTATATTGCTCCTGTCGACCCTTGTCTGTCATGTGCTTGTCTGGCATTAACAACTCTGCCTGCTGGCAAGGTGGCCGTGGTCATCGGCTCCGTGTGGAACACCTTTGACCCTCGGCGGGAAGTCAATGCGAAGGTCGGGCAGCTGATGGTACTGTAGGGGCCTTAATAACTAGAATGGGGTTTCCGGGGTTCCTTATTATAGTTAAAGTATAATGCATCCCAAACCCTATTCTAATTGTGAAGGCCCCGACAGTCTCACTCTTCGTAGCCGTAGGGTTCGGGTCTCGAGCACATCGGTCCGAGGCAGCTGCCCAAATTATGATCCTTTGGCCCCCTGGTCGATCGATAGTGTTCAACGAAACGAGAACCCGAAAGATGGCCTGTACAGCAAGTCTTGTCAGACGTAGTTCAACAAAGAGGACCGTATTTCCCGAAGCCCAAGCCACTAGATCCCGAAAACGCGAACCTAGATAGCATTCTTTAGCCCTATAAGCCCTGAGCCCTATAAAACCCCAAATCCAAAGTGCTCCTGGAGAGAAGCAGATCTCGACCCAAGGAGCTGATCTTGAAGGAGCCACCCAAGGCCTAGTGGAGCTCGGGAGAATTTCGACTGGTTCCTGCGGATTTGGCTAGATTAGCCAACGGCCCTTGAGATGAGAGAAGGAGCCTATGTATAGGGCCTGTGTATAGGGCCTCAAAAACGCACATAAGCAAATTAGGATCTAGCGGATATCCCGGATATCTCATCTAATGACATCGAAGCCCAAAAAGGTAAGGATGACCTTCGTGGGCCCCAAGTGGATGGTCTACATTTATCTGAGTTTTCTTGTTTCACGTGGCTGAGTAGATGAGGGTTCAAGGTCTAGGGTCGGTGGGGGTAGAACAAGTCCCTAAAGTAAAAGCCAGAAAGTTGGAATATGATTATCCTAACCCTTCTATGGTCAATGGTAAATTATAGGGTATCCTACCATGAAGCCATATTCCAACTTACTGGAGTTCCCTGTAGCATGATAGGTTTGCAGTATACTGAGCAGTATTGTTCTAAACCAGAATACGCTGATGCACGGGCTTGGGAGCTGCGGGCTTGAGAGATTTAAACAGAGGGACCCTGAACCCAAGACCCAAAGCCTAAACCCTCCAAACTATGAGCTCAAGACAAAGTCCTAAACCTACAGGCACTGCTCGCGAAGTCCTGCTTGTTGCAAGGCTCTCGGTTTGGTCCGCCGAGAAGTACCGAGAGTGGCAGCACCACAGCGGCACCAATCTTTGTCACTTTTCGTTGTCAGTTCAGTGTTGTGGAGGTTTTGGGTGTTCGGACCCTGAGGAAAGTCGAAAAGTAGACCGCTTTTCGACTCCTGTCGCTTCTGTTCTCCCTGCACATGCAACCAACCCTTCTAGACTGCCGTACCGGAGGCAACGGTCATACGAAGCCAACCAACAATTTCCCGGATGTGGACTCAACCCTTCCGTTCAGAGCTGTCGAAACAGCATAGAGGGAAGAGCCCTTTGAGGTCAAAGGGTTCAGAAATCAGCTGACTTTTGAGCTTTGTGGCTTTGGTGGAGGATCCAGGGGTGTGGCGGGGTGTACTGGCAAGGGTGCTTCGGTTTGGGGATTGGGGGTGTTCCGGCGGGTCGTGATAATGTGAGAGGGGTGTCTTCTGGTTCGTGCATTCGGCCTTGACATGTTCGCAGCCGCAGCACTTTGTGATGGCCCTCAAACCGCGCGACACTCTTCCTGGAAGGTTCTAACTAGTGCAGATGGGCTTCTGTGCTGCTGAGATAGGAGTTGTAGGAAGAAGGGAACCCCGATATAGACCTATGTCCACACTAAGATCAGCACTGCTATGGACCCCTTATGACGTATGAGTGTAAGTATAAGGGATCCTTCCATCTGGAAGATCTACTTCATCACCTTTGTCCTCGCGCGCGTGGGGATCAGTCTGCCTATCCTGCTCTTCTATCCCGGAATGCCTCTCCGCCTGCAGTTTTCTCTTTGGGAGTTGGAGCTTGTTTGGAGTGTTTGAGGTGTGTTTCGCATCCCCTGATCAGATACTCCCCCAACAAGCTCCTCAGATGTGGCACTTTTCGGCACAACCCTTTGACACTGTGGCACACTGTGGCAAGACATGTGAGGTAGACTTCAGCTCAAAGTCTTTGTCCAAGCCCGGAGACATCCACAGACCACGAATCCCAGAACCGTAAAGCCCTTGTCGTCATGGTCGTTGTCTTCTTCGCCGTCCTAGTGGTACTAGGTCGTAGGGTAGCAAGTACTAGAATGATCCGACGCAGTAGTATACCGAACGATCCTGCGGCTGAACCCTTGAAGCCGAGTTGCGAAATTAGAAGCTAGAGCCCAAATCATCGACCTGCCATGCTCACCCACCCCACGACTCCCGAAAAAAGTATTCCGGCAGGTTCAAGGGGCCGGTGCACTGCTACTTCGCGACCGACGCGTCCGATGCCGCCATGGCCCTTTGGCCGAACTGGGCTTGGGCAGAGCTCTCTTTCAAAGCCCAAGCCCCAAGCTCAAGGTTCCGAAATAGCCCTTGCTGAGGTCGTAAACGGTAATATGGGAGACTAGCATGGTGCAGCAAGGACGCGAAGGCTTGCCTGACAGCATGTTGTTCTAGTGGGGTTTGTGTTCTCCTCCAAGGTGTGGACTGGGATTTCCCTTAACTCATTCCCCGAGCTAGGGGCGGCAACACCGATTCTTGGATATTAATGTTCGAGCACAAATATAGCCCAACACATCACACTTCCAGACACACAACCCCGAGTTTTCTTGTGCAGATTGGGACAAGACTCCAGAACCCCAGTCTGGTAGTTTTGTCTTCTATTGTAAGCTTATCCCTCGAACCCAAAAGCCCAAACCAAGCTTTTATCAAAGGTCCTGGTGCTCGGGCTCACGCCACTCGAAGACAGATATGGTTTGAGGTCTCAGGGTTTATAGGGTTCGGGGTGGTTACAGAATCTCGGATCTCCTGAACTGGGCTATGTACCCATTCTGTAGATGTTGGGGTTGATACAATAAAGCGGTGGAGAAACAATTCCTGAAGAACACTTGTCTATTACCTTTTCTACCGAAAGACCGCGCCTTTTTTTTCAGGAATCAATCAGAAAGTTATCCTTCCCTAAGCTTAAACCCTCAACAGCAACCCCCGAAATCGCACGAGCAATTGGACTCGGGCGCAAGCCCTGACTCTAAACCGTACTGAACCCCAAACCGTGAGTTAATCCGAAACAGTACATCCTGAACGCTGCACCCTGATCCCTAAACCCCTGTGAAATTTCCCTGTCTTGAAGCGCCGTGTTGACATGTCCTCATGCGTGGATAGTTTTTGAGACAGTTCTGAATGCACCCTGTACGACAGACGTCTTGGGCTCAGACCAAAAAGTGCGCTCGTTGTGTGGTTGGACACTCACTAATCCAGTTCCTGCTTCAAACTGGTAGCGGAGCTGTGAGGACAACCACTAGTGTTTCACCCCCGTAGAGCCTGTGGTCCGGGGTCCGTTGGGTAGAGTAGTGATAGTCGCGGCGCAAAGGCCCCTTCTATCTGAAGCCATGAGCGTGGCAGGTTTGCGTTACCAGCCCAATCTCTGGTCACAGAACCTGAGCCCTGCAGAAACGAAAAGCGGTTCGTACATATACGACGGTACGGCTGCTGGCTTCCACGATTGGTGCTTCCGGACACAGATCCGTGTGCTGCAACATAAGGAGAAGCAGCGGCGAGAAGCTCTTAAGGACCTGCGATTTGCCGAGTCGGCAAGGGCCAAGAGCGAGTCACCAAGGAAGTGGCGTGGCAGGGCAAGTCAGGGGACCAGCGCATCGCCCACAGATGGTGATGGAAGCAGCGGTATACCCGCCAGTCCGTCCAGCGCAAAACGGACTAAGCCCGCGTCCGAGGCAGAAGATGAGGATGCAGAGTCGCTACCGTCGCACCCCAGCCAAGTGGCGGGCGACGATGAACAAGAGCCGGACACAGATCCGGCGGTGTACACCTTGCAAGACATTAAGGACGAGTCGCTTGATATGAGCGAATGCGTTAGCAAGATTTTGGAGGGTCTCCGAGGAGACGCCTTTTGCATTGCTCGCGACGTCGGCCTGGAACGTCTGCTACGCCATGATGGCGTCGACTACCTGATAGAAGAAATCAGGAGGCAAGCTTTCCCTCTTCAATCTGAAGAGGCGTCCGAACTCTTCCGTCAGGGACAGCTCCTGACGGGCCCACTCGCAAAGCAGCCCGGCGAGCCTATGTTGTCTTACATAGCCCGCCGAAAGCGGTGGTGGTCGACCTTGCGTGAGCTAGATCCTGATATCCGCCTTTCTGAAGCAATGAGGGCTAATCTCCTTGTTGAGCTTTCAGGGTTGGAAAGGAACGAACAGCTAATGGTCAAGACCGCTGCCCGCGTACACACCGTGGATGAGTACGCACGCGTCCTTGTTCAGCATCACTCAGTGGTGCACATGAAGGAACGTCTTCTTACCCAGAAGGACCCTAGTGGCCCAGGTAAGACCTGGAGACGTTTCGACGCTAAGCCGCAGTACCCTAAGTTTGGTTACATGGGGTATGATGGTAGTGCCGCAGAGTATGGTCACCAGGAACAGCAGGAATCCGCGGAAGGCTACGGTGACGGCTACGGCGAGGAAGCATACCAGGCCACAGCGTCTGGGGGAGATGATGCGGATGAATGGATTGATGATGAAGACCTAGCATTGCAACTCAACGCCTATACGGCAGTGGCATATGAAGCTGAAATTGACGATTTGGATGATTCCTATGCCGAGTCGGTTCAGCTTGCGTACGCGGCACAGACCGCCTTTGCCCAGGCAAAAGGAAAAGGAAAAGGGAAGAACAAGGGCAAGTCCTCCGGAAAATCCGGTGGGAAGGTCGTGCGTAGCAATTTGACTATTGCTGATCGTAAGGCCAAGTTGGCAGAGCTTAAGGCAAAGAGTAGGTGCCTGAAGTGCGGCGTGATCGGCCATTGGGCCGGAGATGCTGCCTGCAAGTTTAGTGGTAAGGGCAATGGCCCCAAGGGCACCACAACCCCAGCACAGTCTGGAGGAACCGCCAACGCAGCCGCAAAGCCGGCGGCGCCGAAGCCCCAGGCGTATTTCGCCGCAGTGGAGGAGGATGACGACACAGAGTGTGTCCACCTGTCGAATGCGAGCGCTGGTAGGCTCGAGGGTTACCCAGCCAATCTTGAGCTGACTCCCTCAAGGACCAATACCGGCAAAGGCCGCGGCAATGAACCCCTCTTCTCACCGCAGCTTCGGCGCACAGCCGCCGCTAGGATCATGCGTGACAGCCCGCCTGAGGGTTCTGATCGCGTGTTCTCTTTTGGTCAGCATAAGGGTCTGACTTATGAGCGTGTCTTGTATACGTTTCCTGGATATGTTCTTTGGGGACGCACGCAGAAGTGCCCATCCATAAATTTGGCCGATTTCTTGGATTGGGTCACGGAGTACTTTGATGTGCGTGATGACAACCCCATTAGCATCACGAGAAGGGATGTCCCTCTCAGCCAGGAGCCCCCGCCTGAACCCTTTCAGCCCGAGGTTCGCCTCGCCGCGTCAGCTGCTTCGTCCAGCGAAGGCCCCCGGAAATGCCGGGGAGGTTGCAAGGAGTTCAACAAGTCGGGGAGTAACGCATACATAGACATGCGGACCTGTAAGAAATGCGGCACCGTCACCAAGACGAAGAAAGAGAAGCCTGTCATAGACCAGGCCACATGCCCCCACACCTCCACCGAGAGGTCGGGTAGCAGTAGGAAGACCTCCCGCATTAAGTGCAAGCTTTGTGGGATGCTTCTAGATGAGCAGCCGCAGACCGAGCGAAAGGCTAGGGATGACGCAGCCACAGTGCTGCGGGAGTCCAATACCCTGGACTTCGATCTTCTGCGCAGCATAGTCGGCAGCACGGGGGATAGCCTCCCCGTAGAGGTAGTAGTTCCGGCTATTGCCCAGTTTCAAGAGACCATAGAGGGTCACTTCGTAACCGAGCCCGTGATATCTCGCGGTGACCTTCTCGCATACCTGCAAGAGGCCTTAGATGATCACTCTACGTCATCGACCAACAACAGTTGGGAAGTGGCGTCGGTGAGATCGCGCTCCTCGAGGGCCTCCGCGACGAGGCACGCCTTCGTGGCTTTCACTGAGGGGGTCACAGATATCCATCCGGCTTTGGTTGATTTGCCCGTAGTAAATATCTACGAGGATAAGCACGTATACGCCGTGTTGGATGAGGGCTGTAACTCGACTGTTCACGGTAGCGATTGGATAGCAAACGCGGCGGGGAAACTTGCGAACTTCGGTTACAGCACGAGGTTTAAACCTGAGGGCAATCGTACCTTCAAGGGTCTTAGCGGTGCTACCGAAACCCTGGGTAGCAGGACCATACCTTTCTCTATAATGGGATTGGAGCAGGACTTGAGAGTTCCGGGCGTCCTTGATTCTCACGAGATTAAGGGTACAGCCCCTCTCCTTTTGTCCCTTTACGCCCAGGCCCAACTTGGTATAACCAAGGATCTTCGGTTTGGCGAGTGTGGTGTTCGACTTCCTTCTGAGGATAGCATCATTAGGATCAAGCTGTGTCGGACACATGACTCAGGGCTGTTATGCATAAACATAACAGAAGGTTTGGTTCAGGTGAAACAACCCCGTCTCATAAGAAGCTTCCAAATTCCCTCACCGCCAGTTCCTATATTTAGGTCTGCCGCCGCCGCCGCCTTAGCTCACTCAGAGTCTGTGAGCACCCCTCGAGATGCAACAGCGGCAGATGACGCAGTGGCAACAAGTCGCAGTCACAGCACTGTAGATGCAGGCCATGGTCATAGCACTTTAGGCGTAGGCCACGGTCACAGCTTCACAACCACAGCTGAGAATCGCAACAACACTAAGCGACGTATAAGCGTAGCGTTCCCGAATCATTGCATGGTAGGCACGTCCGTAGGAGACACGGAGCCCGCCGCGATGGCCGCAGAGGAGGGGCAGCTGCCTAAGAAGGCGCCCCCGACGGCAAAGGCT